GGAATTGAGTGTGCAGACTCTGACATGTTGGACTTACAAACAAAACGGACTTACGAACAGCCTCTTGGAACATAACCTGTTTGTAGGTAGGGGACTATCTGTAGTTTCTCCCTCTCCTGCTTTTGATACCATAGGCAAGAGTAATGCAGCTAAACATCTATGTACTATTAAAACTCTCATGTCTGTAACCTTCAAATGGGCAAAATGGTGCATTATAGGGCAACAATTTTTCAAGCAAGATATCTCAAATGAGCTAACATATAGAATGCATCCAAAATCTGGGACCCAGGACTCCCCTTGGATTAAAATTTGGGAAAGTTGTGGCTGTTTAAGCCCTGCTGCGCTGCCACGCCACCGTGCTGAGCCACAATCACATGATTCTCATTTCCAATGCTCCTTGCCAAGGAAAGTCAATGGGGAAGGTGGCAGGGAAGGTCACATCTCTTTTCCTGGCCTTCCTGCGTGCACACACATCTACACACCCACCAGCACCTTCCTTTCTGGGCCTTCCTGCGCTTGCACATGGACACACACCCATTTGCATGTACCCCACACCCTCTTTCCCCATGTGCACTGCAGCAGCCCCCCTCTACCAACTTGCACACAGACTGCCAGGGCCTCCCCCACCCCCTTGTGGCACCCCCACGCTCCTTATCTGGGGCTTCCTCTGCTTCCCCCCACTGCAGGACCCCAGCAGCAGAGGCATCTGCATATCACACCAAGCCAAACTCAAGGGCAGGAGGCAAATATGATTTAAAACACAAGTGAGCGTGTGCATCAGAGACAAAGGGAATGGCATTTAATAGTATATACTACATATTTATAATGATGATTAAGAAAATAGAAATATTAAAACTGGAAAATTAATATTTTAGCCTTCATGTTTTTCAACTGCTCTACTGTAAACACCAACTGTTTTTTCAGTCAAGAGGAGCTGAAAAAGGCAGAAATCAAAGCATTTTTCTTTAAAAAGGTGTGTGTGGATTAAGCCATTCCAGGAATTCTATAAAAATTAGCATGAATGATAAAAATATTTTAAATAAGCAAGATAAAGAAATATTCAGCAGTGGATTTCACTGAATTTGATGGAATTTATGGAAAAACGGTTACAGGTTTATTAGATCATACAGACAGCGTTTGTAGGAACAGTTTGTCTAGCACTTTATTTCTGCTATTCAGGATTTAAAATGAACATCACTTTCAAATATGTCATTAGTACTGTGCTCAAAATTCTACTGTACATTCCAATCTGCAAATTTAATATATTTTCTCTTAATTGAACTGGTCATTATATACACTTCTAATATTTTATATATCACTCAACAACTCTCTTTTGGAGGAATAAAGCAGGGTTTTGTTTTTTTTAAGTTCTCATTCTACAATAGAATTTAATCAGAAACATTAGACAAATTACTATCTTTAGCTTTCTTGGGTTTTCTAAGGTACTGTCAGGTTCAGCCCAAGAACCACCTTGAGGCCTTCCAGTGCAGTACAGTTCCTTTACTGACTATTACCTAATAGACAGAATCTCACCAGACTAAACTTATCTACAGCTAGTAGAGAATATACTCTGTGAGGCTCTGGGAAGGAGCCAGCCTCATCCTCTTCATTTTCCCTATCTTGTTGCGGGCTGAGGAGACTTGCCCTGGAATGTCTCTCCCCACTCCTGACAACCTTGAAGCTCCATTCCAGAATTGTCCCCTCATGCCTTCCATCACAGGTACACATTTAATTTTTAATCTGTGTGTGGGTCCACACTTGCTTTCTTAGTCTCTTCCTCTCACTTCAGTATTATATTTAAAAGTTTTGCCTGATCAAATATTCTGGATTGTGAGGCCTTGATGAATTCAGATCATCTGTATGTACGTATGTAGAAGAGAAAATCGCATGTGCAGAAAAGAAAGTCAAAAGCTGGATGTGAAATATTCTGGTTATAATCTAAGAAAGCAGGAGAGGGGATAGTTATAATCAAAGCTGCAATACTACATCAAGTTTAAAATCTAATCGTCATTTAGTTTACAAAGGTTAAATCCATTTTTCCATTAAGAAAAACCCGAAGTACAAAAAAAATGCTAATAATTTAAGCATACTCTTTATGATGATAAATGAGTAATTAAAAGCATTAAGGCCCCTAATTTTCTGTTTAGATAAGGAAATATCTCTGAAATGATGACCCAGCAGGCTGCCAGTTATGCGATCCAGTTACGCAGTTGTCATTTACAATGCTCTTTGCCAGCTGCCCCACAAGGAAAGTCAATGGGGAAGCCAGCAGGAAATCAGAAGTTGCTCCCGGTCCCACTGCTTTTTTGCCTGTCGTCATTCTGTTTCTCTGTTTAGGTAAGGAAATATCTCTGAAATGATGATCCAGTGGGTCACGGGTTGTCTAGTGTCAGCTAGAACCAAGGAAAGTCTTGACATATTTAGAACAAATAAATCAGCTACCATGAAAAAGTTACAATGTAAATATTTATTTATCATATTCATATAGCCGCCCATCTCACACAAGGTGACTCTGAGTGGCGTAAAATATTCTTATTTTATCAGATTAATGTTAACCATGTAATGCAGGATTTTATATAATTTAGGGAGAAAGGGCATGGTGTAACATTTTGTCAATAACATCTCTTAGCTTAGCTGGTCTTAATTAACTCTTCATGGATGGAATCCATCATGGAGGCTGGGCAACATTTGGCCAGGTTATCTAGGATTGCTTCTGGCTGGTAAACTCTGATAAAGGGAACTGGTTGTCTCCAGCCTCTTGCAAGGTTTGGAGGAGCTGCGATCACTGGATCTGGGAGGTGGTCAAAGCCTCATGGCAGGAGGGCCTGAGGCAGCCCTTGATACCATCAACCATGGGATCCTATGGAAGTGGTGTTTTGACAGTGGCTCAATAGAGTTCCAGTTGCTGGTTGTGGGGGAAGAGATCAGCCAGCCTCTGCTCTGTGGGGTGCTACAGGGTCAGCCTGCTCTCCTATGGTTTCATATCTACATGGAACTGTTGGGAGAGGTAGTGTCAGAACCTCCAGCAATCAATCTATCAGCTCATTAGTTGCTTGCTTCGTTTCTGCCATTTTTTGTTAGGAGGAGGGGGAAACAAGGAAGGTGAAACCATTAACACAGATGGACTGTTATCTGGGGTCAGGAATGTCCAAGGTTGTACCAACATGAGAACTGGCTGAGGAAAAGGGGGGTGAGAAGTGAGGGTAAAAATAGACTGGGAATGTGTGGGCTTTTTAGTTTCAGCAATGCTTTG